GTTTAGACTTTAATGGTGACTGTATCCAACTACATTTACTACAATTAATCTTGTAAGTAATCATCAGAATTAAATGGATGAGGAAGTAAGGTTTGTATTTCAGGCATGTAAGTTAAGAGCTGAAAATGTAAAAAATTGCCGTTGTGCCTACATGCTTTTGAAATGAAAGGAGATAATTCAAATTCTGGAACACTTAAATTGCTCATATATCGTATCTTGACAATAAAACTGTCATTGTGAAAACTTACTAGAAACAAACCTAGTTCAATCCTACAGCATCTCAAAAGACAAAAAAATTCCATACTGAACTGAAGGGATCAGCACCCATCAGTTCCTAGGAGTCAGTTCGTACAGGGTTTTTTCTGTACGCATTACCTGCTGAATCTATTCTGCCAAAAAATTATTGTAATTGTAGTATTTCTTTAAATGAGAAGCTACAGAAGTATTTCCCTTGCTGTGCACAACACCTAACAATTTTTGTGTTGTTCTGTGAAGGTGATGTTTTTATTTCATTATTTTGAAAAAAATTATAATAGATTTATATCATGTAATATTATGATTTTGAGTGAGGTAGTTATCTTTCAGGCACTTATCTTTTAGCTTATACTTGGTCATCCTGAAATAAGTTTTTAATATTGTTAAATGCTAGCTTTGATGAATACCTTGAAAGGGAGACTGATACTTCTTTCAAAAATATGCATATTAAATAGGAATCTTTTTCCTTGCATGCAAGTTCTGATTACACACTCTTAAAACATTAGTGATGCAAGTGTTGGTCATTCATTTTCAGAAATACCTTTGTCTGTTAAATCTTTTATCTTAGAAAAAAAAAAAATATTTAAAATATCTGCATGTTTTCTTGCAGGCAGACTTGTTAGATCATGGTGTCTGAGGGATTCAGAATTGTAACTTATTTGCTTGTTATTCTCATCAGTGAAGCTGCTGTGAAGTCACTGCTACCTACACAAGCAGTTAGAATAGAGTTTTTTTAACATGGCATTAAATACCTGAAGTGATCTTCAACCTCTCCTCATGTCCAATCAGCAGTATATTAGTAGACTGTTACCCAATAAACATCTGGCAGGGTAGTGTATTAGGTGGTAAATCCAAGACTAGCATTTTCTGTAAAATATCTGTGCTATTTTTACATAAACCATTGTTACGACAAACATAAAACAACAGTGTATCATCATACAGTAATACCCTTAAAAAAACAGCAGGATCACCTGCTAAAATCCTTTTGTACCATCATCTCTGTTTTTGAAGGCTTTTTTCTCCAGACTGAGTCAGGTTATTTCAAAATACTTATTTATTTGTTTTAAAAAAAACACTGCTTTCTCTGCTTCCCCCATAAACTTTACTGTTAGTTCTTCAAAGTGACTTGAAAAGAAATTCAGAAACTTCTATGAAAATATCATTCTTAACTGGCAGTCTGCTGTTTTAGAATATCAAGTCATATGCACCTTCTTTACAAGACATATATTGAACAAATTTTAATGTTCTTGCTAAAATATAACTGCTGAAAATAATAATTTAATTGGCACAACATGCAAACATTTTTTCTCTGCCAACAGTGTATCTGGTGACTATCTTCTTCCTATATTTTAAGTGTTCTATAACCTAGTATTTTATTTTTTTATCAAAAGCTGTTGCAACCAACATAGAGATGAAATCTTGAATATTTAGGAACAACACATGAAAAATATGTGATTCATCTCCTCATATGTACATAGTACTGATCCTCATTTGATTCAAGTCAGCTCCTCTTGTATTCTGCTTACAAATTAAATTCATGGTGCTTAGTGACATAGAATATTTATCTGTGATTATTAACAAAGGCTGATTTTTTTATGACTTAATTTTAAATTCTCATTTCTACCAAAGGGTTAATGTTAGTTTCATCAGGCAATACAGAGAGGGAAAGTGTTTCTGCTTAACAAGGTACTTGTAGAAATTACTTTTTTAGAAGAAAATACAGAAAGAACATTATCTTGGTTACAGATGTACATCTTTATTACTGTGTATGAAATCTTGAAGTGGAAATCTGTCAGTTAGGTTTTGCATATGCCCGAGTACTTCAAAAAACACAGAACTACAAAGATACCAATCAGAAGTCACAAGATTTATTACAAAATTAAGGAAGATTTTAGCAAATAGTTTATTATTTTGGTATACTAAAAGCAGATGCAGTTAAATCTTCAGTTAAATGCAAGTGTTTACTGAAAAGCCTGAAGCTTTCTAAAATTGACTGTAAATTAGTTCTTCATGCACTTGACACATGAATGTAATTCAAATAAGTAACCCCTTACAAAGAAGCATACAAAAAGTAGTGGCTGTGACCTTATATAGCCTTACTGTTTCCTGCTAAATGTGGTGACAAACAGCAGCAGTAAGTAATAATAAAATTATTGTATTTATGCAGAGTACAGTTTAGTCTGCTTTTATTTCTCTGTGTCTTTGTATTTTTTCCACACAGCTGTATTTCTTGTTTTGGGACTTTTTTTTGTTTGCTGTTCTGGAAGACTTTATTTTTTTTATTTTTGTGTATATAGAAGATGTATATACAGACATTTTTCTGCACTCACCTTGACTTTTCTTACCCCCTTTGGTTGACTGAACACAGTTCTTGTCTCAGCATGTAGACAGTATGTAAATACCCATATTACATTAGATCAGTGACTTGTGGAATCATTTACTCTGTAAATACATCAGAAAGGTGTGGAGCTCTAAGCACAGCAGTGGTCTGCAGCTGTCTCTGCACGGTGGAATAATACTGATACTTTCTGGGTGTGCTTTACTGTACTGGGTTGTTTGTGTAGGTTTCTTGTGTCAAAACTAATAATAATGAGCCAATCCTACATAAACTAGCACAAACTTCTACATGTGGCCAAATAATTAGGTTTTTGAGAACTGTTGATACAGCTGTTGATGAACCAAATATTAAGGAGGGGGACAGTCCTGCACCACAAAACTTAGAAGCTGGTTAGATTTTATTATGCTGATGCAGTTCAACACATAATCGTCTGTATTCAACACCTTTAAATATATCTGCTTATGCTACCTTTACAGATAAGCTTTAATTTGCAAATATGTAGTTCTCTCATTAATATTTTAAATTATATAAACAGTAGTAAATAGCACTGGTTTAGAAGCTGCATTTATTTATCCCATATAGCCTTGAAAAAGTTCTGTGTTTACATTATCTCTTTGCCTTAAGATGGGAACAGTCCAGTCCCATCCCCAATTCAGCTACACTGCTTAAAGGTACTAATTCTTCCAGCTGCTTGTTTTCATCATCTACTCTTTTGCCAGTAAAGAAGGTTTGTTGGTTGGTTGGTTGGGTTTTTTTACCTGCACTTTCAAATATGCTTCAGGCAAAACCAGCCTGGTTAGCTCAAGTCACCTATTTAAATTAAATTGGCTGGTTTTGTACAAACCGTATTAGGGAGTGCTCACATGATTTCTTCCTCCGGCAGAGCTGTGGAGATGATAATCTGCAGCAGATGTATGATAACAAATATCTTGGGATAGTAATGTCTTCATCTGGCGCAGTTGTTAGCAGACCAAATGTCTGTCTGTAGCCCGAGGCTGTGGGCAAACAATTGAACATGATTGAGTTACGGCGAGTTAACAAGTTGCTGCTTGGCAGCTGAGCTGCCAGAGCGGATCATGTGCTCATTGTTTGCCTGCTCCCGTCATGAGGTAAAACACATTTTCTTAAGTCACTTTTGGAAAATTTTGTAAAAATGAGTTCTACTTGAAGAAAATTCCCCAGGGCCAAGAGATTCATTTGTTCAGCATCGGAGGCAGCGTTGAATGGCATTTTCCTGAGCTTCAATAACATGATTTTAAATGTGTTATTATGTTGTTGAAAACATAGAAGACCTCCATCACACAATTGTCTGCATGTCTCATAATATTTAACATATTTATTTAGGAAATAGGCTCTTTTGGCAGAATAACCAGAATACTTAAGTAACTTAATACTTCGTTGTACAGTCAATACCATAACTAGCTAATTTTCACTGTAATCTAGAAACAACAGAACTGCAGATTCAGAACACAGCTAACTACTGAAAACATTAGATTTGTGTAATTATTTCCTTTACTATATACATAATGGTCTTGTGTCATGTTTTTTTTTTTACAGTGTCTTCCTTTTGAGTATCATTATTTATATTTTCTTGATGTACTTTAACCAAAGGTTGTGATACATGAATTAATTGAGAAAATGAGAAACAAAGAGCGCCCAAATTTTCACTGCTTACCAATTTTTTTTATGTTGTATCTTGATAATTCTGTGTTGGCTATCCACACTAAAATGGGCCCTCAGACATCTTTAAGGGGGGGGGGAGGGGGGAAAAGCGCGCTATTTGTAATTCTTACACCACTCCATCCTGTCTTGAAAGAAGGCTAAATTGTGCTCATAAAAATGATTTCACAAGGTGGAGTAGAATTATACAATTCAGATTTCAACTAGCTAACTGATGATATGTTAACAATCTAGCCAATGTAGCAGCAGCTTTGTATTAACTAGTTAGCCACTTCTTGTGGCTGCAAAGTAGGTCATAGCTTTAGGTAGAGGTAGTA